AATCTGATGTGTTTGTGATCATGATGGTTCAGTGGATACCTGCCAGTTAACAATAGTGATTCTTATAAACTGCTTAGTGATTGTTTTGTGTGGAACTTCCGCATGATTTTTCGTCGCGAAAGTTGGTTCCATTGATGTCGGTACTTCTCTGGTTTACATTGTGGGCATTATAATCGCACCCAATAGCGAGCTGTTTGTTGTTTACTTTTGCTATATGAATTGTTCGCCAGGGCAGAGAATGATATTTTAGATCGAATTTGAGGGAATTTTCAGGGTTTTTTTTTTAAATATCTCAGCAACCGTTTAATCTAGGAAGATGCGGATTGCGACGTTGAAATATGCATTCTTCGTACTGTAGTCACGAATGTTCGCGACGAGCCAATCGTTGGCTTAAGACCATAATTTCCGTCTTTATCCAGAAATCTAAATATCGAACGTCATACGATCGTTTTACGCAAATCCCTTCGTTTAATTTCGAAATCAGCAGAAGCTGAAAGGTATTCAATTACCCTCTTTAGTTATTCGATATTTTTTTGCCCAGCGCAAACACCAAACACACGTTAACCGTTGACGGAGTATCGTGTGATTGCGTGATCAATAAATAAGAGGAAGATAACTCGAATTATGAGTGTCTTGACAACGAGCTGACCGTGGTATACGCGTAAATCAGGATATTTTTTTTTTCGATGCTTGTACGGCCGTATCGCATAACTCAGACACGCTGTCCTGATAGAATCTGTTGCTCTTTTTCATGAATATTAAAACGAAGACGACGATGTACAAATTCGAATCTTGTAATTTGTAGTTTAGATTATTTGTATTTCGCATGTTTATACTTTAAAGATGATTTTCTCTCTATATAATACAAGAAAGGATTGATAATTAGATTACGTTAACACGAAGCAATTTACAAGAGTAATTTTGAAAAATAATTTGACCCTTTAGCAGATAAGACTCTGGAGGCTTTTTAATCGACTTTTTTTAAACTGTAATGCAGTGGTGCCCATACTTTTTTCTATGAAGATTTACCAACTAAAAATCTATAACTGGGAGATCGACACCTTGTACCAAAAGGTCCTCTTTTTTCGACTGTCTGGACTGTCTGGATTTTTAAACCCCAAAACAATAATAAAGTCCAAAATAATATACATAATATTTTAATCGACCACAGCTGAAATAAAGAGCCAGTATAATAAACTATAATGCAAAGGAAAATTCTACTAATTCATTTAGAGTAACTCAAGTTAATACATATTAAAAATAGATTCTCACTAACTGTAGAAACAGGTAATTATAAAACTGAATAAATACATAATAAGAAAAATCTTCAATATTAATCGTTTACCAAATAATTTTATTTAAATTGTGTAACAGATCTAAAGCAAAGACAAAAATATTAAATAATTATTCTATTATCAAAATTTACACTTTATGAAACGTTGACATACTTATAGTGACAGAACAATAAGATAAACTAAAAATAAAGAGCTGTCAACCAAAAATGTCTACCACAAGGAAAAATAAATAATACCTATAAAAAAGATGGAAAAAATTACAATAAACGATAATAACATAATGTTTAAAATAAACTAACAAATAATTTAGATAAATTTAATTAAATAATAACTAATAAGAAGATGTTGAATTTGATTACTGAAATAATGATTTCTATGTAACGCTACAAAAAGTAACAACATGATGCTGCAAGGTTAGTCGGAATGAGGTTAAGAATTTACTTCGCACTACCTAGCGTGAAACAATATTATTATTTCCAAAAAAAATTAAGAACATGAAATAAAAATAAGGCTATAGTTTATGATTCAGCTGATGACAAATATGACGGATAATAAATGGCAGATGACGCGATTCACCGACATATATGACAGTTGACAAGTGACATATGACGTCATGTCCTTACATGGTTCTAAAAAAATTAGGGTCCGATTACAATTAGAAAAACACAGCTACGTCATAACTATTACTTCGAATTTCGAATACATATTATTTATAACTGTCAATAAATAAAAAATAAGTAACTTGTTAGATATAAACCAATATTTCCTATATTTCTATAATATTAAAGCTCCACTAAACCCCCAGTACGCGGCGATAACCAGATAATTACTTTTCCAAATGATGACGTAGCTGTGTTCTTCTAATTGTAATCGGACCCTACTACAAGATTTTGAAAATATATTAAATATAGTGACAGATTTACCAATATAAAAATCTGGTGGGAACATTATTGATACCAACGTTACTAAATGTTCTGACAAGGTGTAAAAAGAGTAGGAAAAAGTGATACCAACCTACGAACAAGTTACTAGATTATTGAAGGAAGTGTCTAGCTGCAGGGGCGCCCCGGTACCTAGACTCTGGCACTACATACAGGGGCGTGATTGTTTTTGACGGTTTTGATCACGTGATCACGTGTTAACCTCAAATTTGTTTCTGATTCTTGTGGGTCGAGTCTTCGAGATTTGAGCATATATACCTAATTTCATTAGCGCATTTTTTACTTAATTAAATATTTTGACTGTAGTCGTAGAGGAAAGGTGAAAGTTCAAAGTTCACTATGAATTTGGAAAATTTGGTTTCGGATGTAGCAGTTGGGACTATATTTAGTTCATACGATGATGTATGTTTGTTTATAAAGTCATTTGAAGAAAAAAAACTTTGTAGAGTTAAGTGTTTACATGTTGAAGCGTCTTTCTTCGGCTACTGTAATGAAAAAATATAAAGACAGAATTGAGCATATCAATAAAAAACTCGTCTATTATAATATTACTTATTGCTGTACTCATGGTGGAAAATACAGAAATAATAATGCTACTCTACACGCACGGAAAACAAGGTACTTATAAAATCATATTTTTTATTTATTAGGTACTACTTATATCTTTTTATTTTAGTACAAGGACACTTGAGTGCCCTGTAAAAATAAGATTTAATGTTACTTCGGATGGAAAATACTTACAAATTGCTGAAATAAATCTTGTACATACTCATGAGGTTAGCAGTGAAATATATTTGTCTTTACCAAAACAACGACGACTGGGTTCAAAAGAAAAGGAAGAAACTTTAAAATTTTTAAACTTGAAGTGTAATAAGAAACTAGTAAAACATTATGTTAAAAACACTGCAGGAAAAGTTGTTACATTGAAAGATTTAAGTAATTTAAAAGCATTAAATAAAAAATCCAAAAACGTTAATGATTTAGTTGAGGCTGTTCATTTGTTACAGAGCGATACTTCTTGCAATAGTTAGTGTTTTAACAAATGAAGACAACACTTTGGGAGGAATATATTTTCAGAACAAATATATGAAGAAATCTTATTCATCTTATCCAGAATTACTAATGTCTGATGCAACATATATGTTGAATAACTTAAGGATGCTCCTTTATATTTTTCTGGTCATAAATGGAAATGGACATGGAGAAGTTGCTGCTACTTTTCTTTTATCTAATGAAAATGAAAACTCAATCTGTCATATGACTCAAATATTTGAACAACATAACAGTGATTGGGAAAAAACGTTGTCAATAATGATTATTGCCATTATTTCAATACTCAGGACTTTCTGGTTGGTGCGATAATTTGTAACAGCTTTGTTCATTGTTAAAGGTACAACAGCTTATACCTACGCAAATAATAAATATAAAAATATAATTATCATTACTATAATAATTATTTAATTTAAAAAAACTTTGAATATAAAAGTTCATTGCAAAATATTCTGTTTAGAAAAATATCATCTTTTTGTTAAATTATAATCTACAATAATTATTGATAGTTATAAGTTTAACCAGGTTAAACGTCAAAAACAAACACGCCCCTGTATATAGAACGAAAGTCTAGGTGCCGGGGCGCCCCTGTAGTTGGACACTGCCATTATTAAACAGTTACTAAATCTAGTGACCAACAGTGTTGCCTACATATGAAAAAATCAAATTTTGAAAAGAGAAATATAGGGACCCAATTTTGTCAATATGAAACTCTGGTGTGAAAATCAGTGACACCAACCTACGAACAAGCTACTAGATTTTTTAACAGTGACAGTGTTGCCAAAATACGAAAAAATGTCCTAGATTATGAAAATATACTAAATATAGTGACAGTATTGCCAACATAAATATTATTGGAGAAATCAATAATACCAACCTACGAACAAGCTACTAGATTTTTAACAGTGACAGTGTTGCCAAAATACGAAAAAATGTCCCAGATCATGAAACTTTACTAAATATAGTGACAGTGTTGCTAACATAAATATTATTGGAGAAATCAATAATACCAATCTGCGAAAAAACTAGGTTTTTAAAAAGTTACTAAATCTAGTGACAAACGAAAAAGGTAGTAGCTTTTTAAAAAATGCGAAGTATACTTATATAATATATATATAATTTTTCGAACACCAACCTACAAAAAAGTTACTAGTTTTTTAAAAAGTTACTAAATCTGGTGAGAAACAGTGTGTCGACATACGAAAAAATAACTAGATTTTTAAAAAGTGACAGTTTTGATAATATAAAAATATGGTGGGAAAAATCAGTGATACCAACATGGCAAAAGATTTTTGAAGAGTTACTTAATCTAGTGACGAAAATATCTTTTGGGACCTTAGCGATTTTCCATGTTAATTTACGTAAGGCTTGGCCCAGAACTGGTGTAGCTTCAGGGATTGACGAGTAAGGGGGCGAATTATAGGGTAGTAAAGGGGACAACAATATTTTTTAGGGCGCAGTGCATTAATACCCCATACATAATACAAGTAGAGCATTAGTATTTATATGTACTTGGAGATGATTCAATTATAGGTCGACTTAGTTTCAACCTGATTAAATCTTTTGAAAATGGCAAATTATCCTGACGTGACACTTGTCGTGTTAATTCTATATTAAAAAACAGTAAACCAGAACGATGTTATCGTCTTACTCGGTGCTAATTTATACACGATTGCTCTTTTCTTAACGCTGAACTGTTCTTTTTTATTTTCAGGGACCAGATCAAGACGATGGATTGAATCTTACACCGGTGAGTACGTCCATATTTTATTATAATTTGTTTAATATTCCATTGCAATATTTAACTAAAAGTATCTAAATTACAAAAAAAAGAAAGTGCTTATAAAGTAAAGATCGGAAGAAAATGAGTGGCTGTGTGTATACAGGGTGTTAGTATATTCGAACGACAACGATCTACCACAAAGAGTTCTCGTTAATTTATGAATTTTTCTTAGTTACTAATATACAGGGTGTTAAAAGTTTTAAATCAAAATTTGAAATTGGCCATAAATCAAAACCTTCTCTAGTTTAAATCTGAAAGGTTCGTGGTTCAAATCTGTGATGAAAACTAATTAAAATCTTTTTTCAAGTATATTTTATTTTATAAATTACTAATAGTCGTAAATTATTATTATAAAAAAAATTATTAACGTTTAAATTATTTTTAAATTGTAAATTTTCGTTAGTGGGTCGTAGAAAAAATATATAGCAGTTTTATTTACTTTTCTCAAAAACGATTTCGTTTTCATTTTTGGAATCAGGGGGGCATATTGAAGGCTACCAAATATTTTTGTCTGCAGGTCATTTTATTCGGCTTCTAATGTTGTGCTTTACTTTTTAGCCCACCCTCGTATCAACATATTAATTTCAGTGAATGATTGTAATATTTCATATTCGCGATTTTTTCGGCTATTGTGTAGTTGCATACCTGTCTTTTACGTTATTTTTAAATTATTTTTCTCCGTAAAAAGTAAAAAGCAACTCAGGCCAAGGTTTATTCGTTTTTAGAAAGAATGATGCGTTCAATACGCTTATCAGAGCGTTTTATCAAATTTTACATTGGTCAAGGATTCTAGTGACGCCGCTTTCGCGGTTTTATATAGATTTTTTTTAAACAAATTATAGTTCGTCGTTATATAAATATATTGTTATTTATGTCAAGACGGTTTTTTTGAACGTATAATCGTCAATGAACTTTGGCGCTAGAGCTATTTTCGTGAGTTTTAATGTAAAACTTTAAAGGTGAACTGCATTTTTAATAGCTGCTTGTGACAATATCGAGAGTAATGTCTTTATTGTGACACACTTAAACCATTAAGCGACAATGATAAATGCTTAAAAATAATTGTTAATAAAGACATCTACGACGGTTATGCCCAAACAAAGGCCACTAGAAAATACTGCAGAATATTTATAAATTACTTTTGACAGAAATGACTAAACTGAACCGCGACAACAAGATGTTATCATGTTCAGAAGAAGTTTAAAAAGAAATTCCGCCATCAAGAATAGTGCTAATTAGGCCTATGTACTATAGAGATTAACCTATCAACTATTCAGATATCGATACAATAATTATGGGATCGTCTACCTTATAATCCAGACTTTAATCGTTTGTAATTTTTTTATTCCTCAAAATTAAAGGAAAAATGGTGTATGATTCATTTAAAACACTTGTATTTAAAGTAATGAATAATCTTATTAGGGTTGCCATATTCAAAAATTTCAAATTTCCTGGCATACCTAATGAAAATTCTGGACATTTCTTTAAAAATCCGTACTAAATAATAAAACTCTAACTTAATAATAATTTTGACAGCTAAAAGAACTGTTTATACGGGATTTTAAGTATATCTTTGTTCTATTTATATATTATATTTTAACAATTGTCATTTTTATTGCGAAATTTAGATTTTGGGCATCATCGGAAAATCCGAGGGGTACTTTAGAGGGAGAATTTTTCTACTTTAAAATATGTTTCTGTTATTTATAATACACGAAAATTATTCAAATAAAAGTGGCTAGTGATGCATTCTCTATAATTTTTGTCATGTGCATGATTTCTCTAAAATAGACGATATAGGAGAAATTTTCAAAATTTAATTGTTTTTAGTGTCTAAACTTGACAGGATACATCAACATTATTAGTTGTGCTATTTCATTATGTTAATTTTAGAATGTGTCACCAAATAATATTAATCAAGTTCTTATTTATAAATTTCGAAAACGCTTATGTATATATACGAATTTATTGTACCGATCCATTCTAGTTGCCATTTTCATAAATTAAATTCACCGAAGGAGGTCTTCAGTCATCGCGTTCTTTTTCTATTAAGAAAAAAAAAATTAAACTGTCGCACAGTGGTGGAGGTTCCAAACCTAGCCGGACAAAATATTTTGTTGTAATTATCCTACTGTTTTAATTATTAATTGTCTATATATAGTGCTTCTTAAAAGTCCTCTCCCCTTTTTTTTTTTGAACGGTAATACTTACACTGATGAAATTTGGAGGGGGATAACGAACTATTGTAAGCTTCCAGGGGGGCATATCGCGCATGGTGTGATGGCGGTGCTGACGTCATGCGTGGAGTTAGTAGATTGGCGCGAAGTAAATATATGAGAGATGCAGTGGTATGTAAGTCGCGTATAGTGATTTATAACATTTTAAGCGGATATTTGTATTGTAATATGTTGTAAACTTTGTTCTTTGTGAGTTTTATTAGTGAAAAAAACTTTAAAAAACGAGGTAGGCAATTTACGGATATAACAGTAACAATCAAAGCAAGGAATTTAAAAAAGGCAATATGTTATTTCGCTTTCTTCGACAGCAATAAGTTAGTCAGAAGTGGCCCAAGGGTGGCTTCGGTGGAGGTACCAAGGGCCAACCCCCGAAATAAAATTCTTACATTCTATAAAAATATGTTAAAATGGAAATGTTACAGGCAATGCTAACATGCTAACAAATAAGTAGTTAAGTATATTCATATTAATATAAAATCAATATAACTCTTATAATCATGGTAATAAGGAGCTATATATATCGTTAGATCATCAATTGATTTATTATGTATTAAATTTCGAAGTTAGTATTTGTGATAAAGCTATTTATTCTAGGGATATAAAAAATATTGATAAAAATTTACAAAAAAACTACTTCGAAAAATTTTTTTGGCTGGATGACCTAAATGATAAAGTATCTCATTTTAACAATCTGCTGATTAATATATTTGATATACTTGTTCCTGTAAAAGAAAGAAAGTTTAAAAAATGTAATCCTCCGTGGCTCACAGATAATATAATATTAAGAGACAAGGCACTAAACAAATTAAAAAAAAAAAACAATAATCCAGCTAATTATCAGTATTAGAAGGAATTAATAAACTATACTACCAAATATTGTGTTAAAACATTTGGTCGAAATAGTAGGGTAATGTGGCAAAAAGTAAGAAGCATGAACATTTATGTTCAAAACTTGTTAAAAGTGAATTACCCGCAGATTTAAGTCTTCCCAATGAAATAAATGATTTCATATTGGCGACTGGCAATCAAGGACTTGCTCCTTTTTTATAATAACAATTGTAAAGTAAATTTTCAGGAACCGCTTGATTTCACAGCCGTAAATCAATGTATTGTTTATAAATATTTACTGGAAATTAAAACTCAAGCGATGGGATTTGACAAGTTGCAAATGTCTATGCTTCTACTTTGTTGTCCATATATTCTAATTTTGATAACTCACATCATGAATACTTGCTTAGAGTTATCTGTTTTCCCAGAAGACTGGAAAATATCAAAAGTGCTTCCATTACCAAAAAAGTATTAGCAACAATTGTTAAAATCAAATTGAGTTACACATACAAATTATAATCTTACCAATTAGTCAGTCTGGTTTTATGCGTGGTTATACAACTACCTTACTAAGGAAATAAAGATGTTTTAATATTGTTGTATTATACATGAGCATTTGATACCATTAACCACAAATTACATTATAGTATTCTACATTATGTAGGGTTTTCTAATAAAGCTATAAATCATATAGAAATTATTTATCAAATTCTGGAAAATCAGATATAAAAAATATCATATGTGGTGCGCCTCAAAGATTTATATTTGGCCCGGTTTTGTTCAGCATTTATGCAAGTAACATTTGTACAGTTCTTGACAAGGGCTTATATGTATGCTGATGACACACAAATTATATTTATTGTTTCGGAATTTAATAAAGTACTTACAAACGAATCCATTAATTCAGAATTAATAAAAGTAGTCTCGTTTTCGAAAAGACATCAGCTTAATATTAATTATTCCCACTAACCTCACACTCTTAATATTAATCCTACAAAAACACAAATATTAGTATTCGGCAAGGATAAAAATCTGATGTATCCAACACATGACTTTCCTATCTAGTTATTATAGGCTTTTTCCGGTTATTTTATACAACCTATTGTAGCACCTTTATAAATGTTTAGAGGATAAACTAAATATATACATTTTCGACATACATCTAACTCGAAACATTTTTCTATAGATATTCATTGAAAACGAAAATACTGAAAAATTTAAATTAAGCACTTTTTTTTTAAATTTTTCCATTACGGTCCATTTTAGAAAAATCATGTAAAAACAAAAATTATAGAGATCGATATCGCAAACAACTTTTAGTTTAACAATTTTCTCAAAAATCAGAATTTTTCACATTTTGTCAAATTTCTCAAATACGGACCATTTAAAGTAAATTTGACATAAAACAAAAATTATAGATAATAATATTAGAAGTAATTTTTATTTGAAGAATTTTCTTCTCCAAACGTAAATAACAGATATATTCCATAAAATATAAAAATGACCACCAATAAAGTACCCCCCGCCCCCAGATGTTCCGACTCTGCCCATTCATTGGACGCCGGAATAAAGCTTAAGTTTAAAATTTGGTGTTTTCCTTTGTATCGGTTCAGGAGTTATGGTGGATACAGACACACAGACATCATCCCAAAAATAGTCAAAACGGATTCAGGGGACCCAAAACGTAAAAATCCGTCGAAAACTGGTGGTCGAAAAAATCATGATTCCTATACTTTCCTTATCTCTATACAGATAGGAAAGTAAAAAGCAAATTTCAAGTCAATTATCGATAAGTTTTGATGGCATTAGTGTTCCTTGTGTGGATGTTGCTAGAAATCTGGGTCTTCAGCTAGATACGGATTTAAGATTTATAATGCACGTCAATAACTACAAGAAAAACAT